GGCGGCCACGGCAACGCTGACCGGCGGCGACCCGGCCCCAAGAGGGACCGACGACGGCGACGACGACGACGACGACCGGGGGAAGCAGGAGGGGGAGGACGGGGAGGACGAGGACGAGGAGCACGAGGAGAAGGACGTGGACGAGGACGAGGACGAGGAACAGCAGGAGGAGGAGGATGAAGGAGGGAGGGAGGTAGGAGGGAGGAGAGGGATGGAGGGAGGAAGGCGCCGAAGGGCCGACAGGCTGGTCCCTGGCAGGCAGCGAGGCAGTCACACAGACTATCGGCCTGGCTGGCTGCAGGGCCGGCGCGCCAGGCCCCCGGCGGCAGGCGGGCCCCAAGGGGGGGGCGGCTGGGGACGACGACGACGACAACAACGAAAACGACGACGACGACGTCAATGACGATAAAGGGCGGGGTGGGGGGAGGGGGAAAAGGGAGCGGGGAGGGAGGGAGAGGAAGGAACGCGAGAGGGGAAACGCGAGAGAAAGAAAAAGAGAAAAAGATGAGAGAGAGAAAGAGAGAGACACAAAAAGAGAGAGAGAGAGAGAGTGAGAGAGAAATCGAGGAGGACGAATAGGATGCGGACCAACGGAGCCAAGAAGGGCAGTAATGGGGCCACGAAGGGCAGCGAGGGGGCCACAAAGGGCGACAGCGGGGCCATGAAGGACATGCAAATTGGGCCACGACGGGCGCAAACGAGCGGGGGCCACGAACGGCATATAACCTCAGGAAGGCATTAAGAAACCCCCCTGGGTTATTCTTAGCACCCGGTTTTCTCAATATTCCAGGCGGGCAGTTTTAGCCGAACGATACACTTAGCACCCGCCGCACACAGAAAACAAAATCCACCATCGGCGGCCGCCCCACTAACGCCAAGAGAGGGTGTCGTACCCTCAAAGCCCTGCAAAGCCCTGCTTGGCCCTGCTAAACTGCTTGGCAGGAGCAAATCTGCGCTTGGCAGGCCTTAGCTAGGCCCCGAGTCCCCTCAGCCAGGTCTTCCGGTGCGGCCATAACGCTCCAGGGTGCGGGGGCGTTATAATCCACCGGAAAGGGGGGGGGGGGGGTTCTAAATGCCTTCCTGAGGTTAATGTGGGGCCGCTGGGGGCAGCAAAGGGGCCACTGAGGGTAGCAACGGGGCCAAGAATGGCAGCGAAGGGGCCAAAAAGGGCGACAGTGGGGCCACGAAAGGCAACAATGAGGCCACGAAGGGCGCGGACGACCGGGGGCCACGAAGGGCATGCATACATGGGGTCATAAAGGGTGACAGCGGGGCCACCGAGAGCAGCAGCCCAAACAAACACGATAACGACACCACCACCACCAACAACAGCAGCAGCAACAACACCAGCAACCACAACATCAGCAAGCACATCAGCAACAGCAGCAGCAGCAACAGCAACAGCAACACCACCACCACCAACAACAACGACACACACACAACCACAAGACCACCACCAAAAACAACAACAACAACAACACCAACAACAACACCACCAACAACAGCAACAACAACAACAACAACAACACCAACAACAACAACAACAACAACAATCATTTAAGACTGGGGACACTCCGTTCTCACCAGTGCCAGGGTTTTCATAGGAGGCGGGCAATACCCCCACTTTGTGGGGGGGCCGGTTCAAGCTCTACCAAATTTCCAAACGACTCTTCGCCACCACCCACACCCAGCTTCCCGCCCTATGACGTTCGGACACTTCACTTCGTGGCATGCGGACGACCGTGGCTACTATTCAGGGCCCCGCGGCCGACGACGACGGCGTGCGCGCGCGAAGAAAAAACGAATGTGTCCAATATGGTATTATTTGACAGGGATGATGGCCCTGGCATGCGCGCAACCGTTGTTGCAGAAGTTCGAAGCACGTGAAAAAGTTGCTCGCAAGAGCCCGTTTGACAGAAATGTTGAAAAAATATTGGGTTTCCTCAGAAATCCGCAAGAGCGCGCAAGATGAATTTTTGAAACTTTTTTTTTGAAAAACCATTGGGTTTTTCATGTTTTTATGTTAAAATCGCTACGAAAACTAAGGTTTTGGAAGGATTTCATCTTGCGCGCGCGAGTGTGCACTTCGTGTCATTTTTTTCAAAGGATTCTTGAAGTTTGGTTATGTTAGAACAAGAAAGTTCATTTTATAGTGTTTTTTGCAAGGGAAAGCGGGCGTCAACAAAACAACCGGATCCGGACACCCACGTTTTGCCTGAGACTTCCTCACGAAAATGATGAAAATGTGGCTGCGGCCTAGGCGCGGCGAGGGGGGCGCGCACCAGGGGCCCCAACAATAATTATTCTTTAGAATAAATAATGTTCAACAACAACAACAACACCAACAACAACAACAACAACAACGACACCGACAACGACAACACCACCATAAGCAGCAGCAATACGAACACCACAAACAACAGTACTTTTAAGACTGTTCGCCCTTAACTGCTCGCGGGCCACTCAGCACGTATATCCCGAAACCTCGATACTCGCCCTCCTCGTTTTCGATCGGATCCTCTCGGGGGGAGACCTTTCTTACCTGCAACGTGTATGCCATGCAGCACCTAAGCCAGGGGAGGAGAGGACGGATGGAAGGAAGGGACAAGGGGGAGGGGGGAGGATGGAACACGATAGAGAGAGAGAGAGAGAGAGAGAGAAACAACAAAAAAAGTAGCAGGAGAGGGGGCTAGGAGCGGAAAACGCGTGGCAGAACCAGACGGCAGATCGGGCGGGTAAACCCTAACAGGCGGATCGGGAAGGCGGGCCCAAGCGGCCAGGTCGAGCAGGCGGGTTGCTGAAGCGTGCGTCCCTCGAACAAGTTGTGAGGACGTCCCGCATGAGTGCGCGAGAAGGGGGTTCAACAACCACAACAACAAATTTACAACTGTTCGCTCTTATCAACTCGCGTGCCATTCAACACGTATATTCCGAACCCTCGATACCCACCCTCTTCGTCTTTGATGGTATCACCTTGGGGGTGTATATTTCTGACCTGCAACGTGCATTCCGTGCAGCATCTAATGAAAGGGAAGAAAGGACGGATGGAACCAAGGGACAAAAGAGGAAAGAGGAGGATGCAGCACGAGAGACACTAGCAGGAGGGGGCTCGGAGCAGAAGGCAAGTGGCATAATCAGACGGGCA